GCAGGCTCTGAATTTTCAGTGCAGAGCTCGACATGGGGCTCAAACTCACAAGCCGTGAGATCATAACCTGAGCTGAAACCAAGAGTTGGACACTTAACCAACTGAGCCACCCAGGCGCCCACATGTTTATTTCTAATGTAAGTGCTTATAGCTCTAAATTTTCCCCCTAACACTGTTTTTGCTGCATCCTACATGTTTGGGTATTGTGTGTTTTTGGTTTCATTTGTCTCTAAGCATTTCCTAACTTCCTTGAGATTTCTCCTTGGAAATCCTGGTTTAAAGTGTGTTGTTTAGTGTCCACAACTTTTACAATTATTCAGTTTTAGGTTTCATTGATTTCTAACTACACCCCACAGTGCTCAAACACTTTGTATGATATTTGTCTTGTAAAGTCTCTGTACACTTGACTTGTGGAACTATATAGATATATCCTGCAAAATGTCCCATGTACACTTTACAAGAACAGGTGTGTCATGCTGCTGGGTGAAGTGTTCTCTATGTCTGTTAGATGCAGACAGTTTACTGTGTTGTTTAAATCCTCTACTTCCTTTCCTGTCTTCTGGTTGGTTGTTCTATCCATTTTTGTGAGTGGGGTATTAATGTTCCCAACTAATACTGTAGAGCTATTTCTCTTTTCTATAAAATTTTTTCAAATATTTTGATGGGCTGTCATCAGGTGTGTGAATGTTTATAATTATCATATCTTCTCACTGTATTGAATCTTCTATTAATACACAATGTCCTTGTTTGTCTCTTGCAACCTTTTTTATGTGGAATCTATTTTGTCTGATATTGGTATAGCCACTCCTACTATCCACTGGTTATTATCTGCATGGAATACCTTTCTCCATCCTGTCACTTTCAACTTGTTTGTGTCTTTCGATCTCAAGTTGAGTCTCCTGTAGACAGCATATAGTTGGATCAGGTTTTTATACATTCTCCCAATCTGTCTTTTCATTGGAGAGTTTAATCCCTTTATATTTAAAGTAATCACCGACAAGGAGCCACTTACTTCTGTCATTTTGCTATTTGTTTTCTATATGCCCTATATACACCCCAAAACTCTGTCCCTTTACATTCTATCCCCACCTCTTTTGGTTGTTGATATCACAAAATCAGATCTTGATGCCCCAGAACATAAACTGAATGCCCCAGAACTTAAACTACTAATTCTTTCAAATGCATTAGTCTCATAAATTATGCAGAAAACAAGATTTGGAGTTAAAAACCAAAGTTATAGTGATATTACTATTACATTTTTTTCTTTAAAATGTATTAGTCTCATGTCATATAGAAAACAAGAAATACAATTACAAACCATTATTAGAATTGTTACATTAGCTATTATATTACTCATGTCTTTACCTTTATTGAGATCTTTACATCTCAATACATTAATAATACAGTCACTGTTTAATGTCCTTTCTTTTTACCTGCAGAATTCCTTGTAGCATTTTCTGCAGGGCAACTGCAAGGTCACCAACTTCCTCAGCTTCTCTTTACCTGGGAATATCTGTTTCTGCTTCACTTTTTTTTAAAGTAGGCTTCATGCCCATCATGGAGCCCAATATGGGGCTTGAACTCATGACCTTGAGGTCAAGACCTGAGTTGAGATCAAGAGTCAAAAGCTTAACTGAATGAACCACTCAGGCATTCCTCTCCTTCCCTTTTGAAGGACAGATTTGCTGAGTATAGGATTCTTGGCTCACAATTTTTGTTTGTTTAGCACTTTATTTTTATTTTTTTAGCACTTTAAATATATATTCCCACTGTCTTCTGGTTTCCAAAGATGAGAAATCTAGAGATGATCTTAGAGTGTCCTGTGTATGTGATGATCTGCCTCTCTGCTGCTGCCATCAAGATTCAGTCTTTCTCTTCTCTAAGTTTAATTGTAACATGTCTCAGTGTGGGTCCCTTAAAATTCATCTTATCTGGACTTTGTTGAGTTTCTTGGATTTTATATGCATGTCTTTTTAGGAGGTTCTCAACCATTATTTCTTTAAATATTCTTTCTGCCCTTCTCTCTCTCTCTCCCCTCCTTCTAGGATGCTCACAATGAGTACCTACTGATGGTGTCCCATGGGCATCTGAAGCTCTATGTGCTTTTCTTCAATCTTTTCTCTTTCTGGTTTTCAGCCTCCATAAGTTCCATTTTTCTGTCTTCAAGCGAACTGATTCTTTCCTCCATCTGCTCAATCTGCCTCTCAAATCCACAAGTGAGGTCTTCATTCTGGTTACTGTAGTTTTTGACTCCAGAATTTCCTTTAGTTTCTTAGGCTTTCTGGCTCTTTATTGATATTATTGTTTACTTCATATATCATGTTCTCGATTTTCTCCACATTTTCCTACAGATTTCTGAGCATCTTTAGGACCACTGTCTTAAAGTCTTTGCCTAATACATCTGCCCTAAATCTTTTCAGAAACCACTTTTGTTCAATTTATTTTTTCTTTGAATGGGGATATTTCCCTGTTTCTTTGTGTGCCTTGTGATTGCTTTACTGTGCACTGGACATTTGAATCTAATAATGTGGTAACTCTGGAAATCAAATACACCCACCTTCCCCAGGGTTTGCTGTTCTTTATTATTGTTTTTATTTGTTGGGTTTTGTAGGCAATCTCTGTGCTCAGGAGCAAACAGAGGTGTGAAATTTAGGTCCTCTGAGGTCTTTTCTGAAACCCTCTTTATTTAGGTGTGTACACTCACTGTCTAATTTCCCAAAGATGCATTTGATTTTGAATGTTCTAGTCTCTAATGTCTGACTCCCAAAGGGGAAAGAGCAAAAAGTTAATGGGAGGAAGGATGTTGGTCTTAAAATCCCCTGGAAGTCACTTCAGCTGGAGGAGGACGGGCTTGTGACAATGAGGAAGGGGCAGCAACAGCCACGGCCACCCTGGGTGTCTGCACCTCTGTGATCAGAGGCAATAAGCAGCAGCGCAGAGGTTCCCGGTACTTGGGCAGGGTTCTTCCTACCCACTCTAGCTAGCTCCCACCAGCCATGCACAAGCTGCTGTAGGACCGTGTGCACCTTAGCCTGCCACTTGTCAGGGAATGGGAGGCAGGGAGCTGCTACTGCGCTAGGAGACATAACTTACCAAGTTAACTGCAAATTTACTCCCCAAGCCTTCCCCTGGAAGTTGCAAACCTCCACCCAACTCCAGAGTTACAGGGCAGTTAACGGAAAGATCCACCAGTCAAGTGCTGTGCAGGCTGGGAGACAGATTCCTGGTGCTTCCTGTTCTGCTACCTTTCCAGAATCCTCTTAGATTTCTTAAATTTCTTTTAAAGAATGAACTAAAGGCCCCATCTTGGGCTCTGTGCTGACAGCATGGAGCCTGCTTGGGATTCTTGGGATTCTCTCTCTCCCTCTCTCTCCCTGCTTGGGATTCTTGGGATTCTCTCTCTCCCTCTCTCTCCCTGCCCCTCTCCTGCTTCTTCTCTTAAAATAAATAAACATTTTTTACAAAAATAAATTTAAAAGATAAGGAATGAGCTATGAAGTAATTAGCATCCTCAGATGGAGGTGAGGTAAGTACACTCTGTAGGGGGATTATATATAAAACTAATCCATACTTTTAAAAATCAGGAGTGTGGATATCCCTGGCAAAGGCGGGGGTGGGGGGGGCGGCTACTGGGGGAATGATGTGTTTGGCTTTCTTTGTCCGATGCTGCTTAAGATCGGTCCGTTCATGTTTGTGAAAATTTCTCCAGTTACACACTGGGAATGTAGGCACTTCTTTGGGTGTACATCACACTTCCATACAACTTCTTTCTTAATCCTATAGGTTGAAGAGTTTGCTTTAAATCTTATTAATGAAACAGGCTGAAGAGGAAATCACATACCTCCAGAAGAAAATTTTTTTAAATAATTATGGGAGGCTTATTCACTGGAGAGATAAATATGGGACTCTGCAGAGGTAGCAGAGTGTATCTGAGTCTCAGTTTCCTCAAATGAAACAAAGGACCAATAGTAACTAACCACCCAGCTCACAATAGGCAGCCAGTGAGGGGATTCCCTCCCCCAGCCACCCCCTGCTGCCTCCCCAGTCTCTCTAGAGCAAATTCGTGTTCCAACAGAAATCCCTGTGGTCAAGGAATGTTCTGTGTCTGCATGTCCAACAAGCACATGAAATATACATGGTGTAATCAAGGGACATATTGTGTACCTAAGTGCCTACTGTACTGAACAGCACATTCTAGATCTTTAGAAGCTGTAAGGCTTTGGCCAATTTCTACTTGACCCCTATTTTGCTGTGAGGCTTGACCTGGCCATTACTTCCCCCAGTGCCTACCTTCTAGAACAGAAGCTCCACAAAGACAAGGGATGCGGGTCACTGCTTTCACTATTTACTATATTCACAGTGCCTACTCCAGTGCCCACACATGGTGAGTGGTCAACAAATACTTGTTTGAATGAAGGAAATAAAACACAATTTGATTAATCCAGACTTCTTTGGATATTTTTGTGGGGTTATCTTTGCATGCCACTATGAAGTCCAATAGGACATATTTATTTCGAGAACCACTGAATTAGTGATAGATCCAACACAAATTTCTAAGAGAAAAGGTGTCAGATGTGTGGCCACCATACCTCAAAGCTGAAGTCGTGAGAGGGAGTCCAAGCCACAGCCCCCAAACCCCCTGAGAAAGAGACGCAGCCCATGTGAACCATGGCCAGGAAGACCACGAGCCACAGCCTGCTTGGGACAGCTTTATCCCTGTTGTCCCAACATAGCACTCACAAGTGCCCCAGTCACAAACTAGACAGTCACCCTAAGCAAGACTCAGGGTGGCAGGGATGACATGCTTGAATTGGACCATACATTCCTGTTGGAAACTGAATCCTACTTTGAATATATGAAGTTTAAAAGGCCCTTAGATGGAATCTTTTCACAAAAGGAAAAACAAAAGGCTTAGGCTTATTTATTTCTGAGGCCTGTGCCCCACCCCTGCCCAGGACTCTGCCACAACTAGCTTCTGCACAGGTGCTGGCCCCCATTACCTGCAATGGCCACAGCGGTCTGTCTCTCAGATGTTTTTATTTCTGGGGCCACTTCTCCCAAATCCGAGCGTCTGAAACAATTCCAAAGGAAAAGTGTAATGACAATAATGAAGTAATACCACAACTTGATTCTACCTATCAAGTTGGCTGCACGTCAGAACGAACCTCTTGGGAGGACTTGAAAACTATAAATCCTGGCTGCACCCCAGCTCGTCGAAACCAGACCTGGGGTCTGGGCCTGGATGGCACGGCTTTGAAGAACACCCTTGGCAATCCCAATGTGCAGCCACCGCGGAGAAGCGCTGGTGGAGAAGACCCAGCCCTCTGCAACCACAGGCCAGAGCTCACTTCGTCATTCAAAAAGACAGAAAAACATGCATACCCTTTGACCACTTCTAGGCTAAGGAAATAATTAAGATTTATTTACAAAGGTGTTGATGCCAGCTTTACATATAATAGTGAAAAATTGGATGCCTTTTAAAATCAAAGTCCAGAGGCACCTGGGTGGCTCAGTTAGTTAAGCGTCCGACTTTGGCTCAGGTCATGATGTCACGGTTTGTGGCTTCGAGCCCCACATCGGGCTCTGTGCTGACAGCTCAGAGCCTGGAGCCTGCTTCAGATTCTGTGTCTCCCTCTCTCTCTGACCCTCCCCTGCTCATGATGTCTCTCTCTCTCTCTCAGAAATAAATTTTAAAAAAACATTAAAAAATTTAAAAAAATAAAATCAAAGTCCAATTACAGAGAAGTGCAGTACAGTCCTATTATGTAGTCATTAGAAAATACTGTATGGATCGCACTCTGTGGATACAAAGATGTTGGACGATGTTATGGAATGACATTAATGATATATTCTTTTTTTTTAATGTTTGTTTATTTTGAGATTAAGATTGAGATTGAGAGAGAGAGAGAGAAAGTCGAGGAGGGACAGAAGAGAGAGATGCAGGGAGAAAATCCCAAGCAGGACGCACACTGTCAGCACAGAGCCTAACATGGGACTCAAACTCACAAACTATGAGGTCATGACCTGAGCCGAAATCAGGAGTCAAATGTTCAACTGACTGAGCCATCCAGGCACCCTGACATTAATGATATATTCATTAGTGGAGGAAAAGCCAAGTTTCAGAACAACATGCATAGCCTGACAACGTTTCAATAAAATTGTGCGTATTTGCATATTTCTCTACAGGTGTAATAAGAAGATCTAGAAGGATGTTCATCAAGAGTTAACAGTGTGGGCAGGGAGGGGTGGTCCTGAATTCTTTCAAGTAGGTTTGGTAAGTGTAGTCCATTGAAGAATAAACTATTTTAGATATATTAGAGGAATGAGTAAGTGTGCTGATTTTGTCAGGATCCAGGGTTCCACTAGTGAAGAAGGGATGCACAAATACGGAAAGAAGAAGCTAGAACAAGAACTCCCAGGGGCGCACTGAACCGGCGGAGCCAGTGTGAATGTATGATTTCTACACGCTCGCATGTACACGTTTGTATTTACATGCATATCTCTCCTAGCTCCATCCACAGAAAGGGCCAAACAGCAAAGATATTCTATCATAGCAGGGAGTGCACCAAAGTGCACCATTCCACACTAAAAGACAGTGGGTCTCCTGGGAGAGCTGGCTGACCCCGGGGCCGGGAGAGAACAAGAAGAGTCTGAGATCTTACTCCAGAAAATAAGGAAGTGCTCAAAAAAATGCTAGGGTATGTCACAGAACACAGGTGCCAGCTTGAAGAGGCTCCCACTGCCAAGTCTGGGGCAATTTGAGTGTAAGCATAATAAATACCTTAACTAATGAAAAACCACTGAAAAACAGGAATGAATGAGTCCAGAGAGGCAATGAATAAAACAAACTGGGGGAGGGGAGAAGGCTCTTGCTTACAACCATCTGATGTGCGAGTGCTGCACCTGGAGTAGCATCACTTGGCAACCATCTCGATATCAATGAAGAAGTTCAAGCCAGGGACGCCTGGGTGGCTCAGTCAGTGAGCGTCCAACTTCAGCTCAGGACATGATCACATGGTTTGTGAGTTTGAGCCCCGTGTTGGGCTCTGGGCTGACAACTCAGAAGCTACTTGGGATTCTCTCTCTCCCTTGCTACCTGCCCCTCCCTCGAGTGCACATGTACTATTTCTCTCTCTCTCTCTCTCTCTCTCTCAAAATATCTCATCACAGACTGCTTCTTAGGGGCCAGGGAGAAAAAAAAAACCTAGTAATTACAACAATGGGCACTTGGGCAATACCTGACTGGTGATCAAATTAGTGACAATGTGACAGAAGGCCACTATGTATCCCAGCCATGGCACCCTGAGAAAGGACTTGTCACCAGGCAGTGATCCGGCTAAGAATGAAAAGTCCTGGTCTAATGTGGGGACAAATCCAAAATGGAAAGTCACCTGGAGCAGAGAACTATATTATCCCAAAGTCACAGAGATCACAACAAAGGTGGAGGAGACGTTTCAGATTCAAGGTGCTGGAGAGATGTGAAAACAAAATGCAGGACCTGACCCCACACTAGATCCTGAACTGGAGGGAGAGGCTTTGGGATCAAAAGACAGGACTGAAATGTGGGCGCTCTGAGTGTTGAACGTGTGGACACTGATGACGGTACTGCATCTGTAAGAGAATATCTCTGCTCTCAAGAAACAGACCCCGAAGGATCTGGGGAGAAAGCAAGATGCTATATGCAACTGACTCTCTAATGGTGAAGAAAGATTATGCATGAGTGTACTCGTGTGTGTACATAAACACACATGCAGCAAGAGATGGAGGATGAGATATGAAAATGGTGAGCTAAAATATAAAAAAATAGCAGACTCTGGATAAGGGGTCTTTTCATTTTTTATCATTTACCTATACGTACAAATTATTTTAATAAAAATAAAGTTTATTTTGTCTTATTTGCATTCTTTAAGTGCAAGAAGCATGTATTGACTTAATAAAACCAAAAGAGCTTTAAAATGATGCAGTAAGCGGGGTCTAGGCCAGAATATGATGTGCAGGTGCTCCAAGGACACCTGAGGCTCTGCCACCTATTCCAGGAGTGCTTGTACACTCAACTCTGGAAGGGGCCCTCAGGCTACCTAGCCCAGATAATTCCCCAGCAAACAAGTCACATCCGCAGTCCCAGAGGAAATTCTAGAACCCTTGGCTCCTCTGCCGGATGGGTCTCTGGGCGTCTGGTCCTCTGCCTGCTGTGAGGAGAGTCCTGGAAGCACAACGATCACTGTGTTTGTGGTTGTTTTAGTCACTGTATGGTGCAGAGTGCTAAGCTCTGCCCCCGATGCTGATAAAAAATGAGTTTTCATTGCCTTTGTAATAAGAAAACAAACTAACCTTAAAAGTAGAGAACAGGACAGGTAAAAACTAGCTCCCAGAGTAGAAGAAGGCGTGGTCTGGCCTCACACAGGCCACCTGAGGTCCCAGCAGGGGGAGAGGTGGAAACAGGGGACAGGTGTTTAGGGCCGGGGCTCCTCCCAGGACAGGAACTGAACTTCAACCCTTTCCTTCCCACACAAGAAAGCAGGCAATGAAAGTGGTATTATCACAGGGATCCCGTCCTGTACTGCTGTCCACAAACTGCACATCTGATGCAGCCTCTGTGTTATGAACGGAACAAAAGGCCCAGCCTGGCAGGGGATCAGAAGCTCCGCTCTGTCCAGCGCTTTTTACCTTATGATCTACTTTCAACCCTTTCACAGCCTTAATTGTGCTCAAACTCCTTTGCTGAAACTGTCACCCCCAGTATGACTACATTTGGAGACAGGGTCTGTGGGGAGTGTGATACTCTGATTTATAACAATTTATTTGGTTCATCTCCATTCCTGGCACACAGCTCCTAAAAACCCTTGGGATTTTTTTTGGGGGGGGGGGGTAGGGTGGGTAAAGGTGCCTCTTGTAATGTTAATGAGTGAGTTTGGGAAAGCACGGGGGTGGGGGGACAGGTGGTCTGGGGACCTGACTAACTACATGGTTACAGGATTGGAACCTGAAGTCTGTGGGTGGGAGGGGCTGGAGGTTGAATCAATTACCAATGGCCCATGAGTTCATCAATCATGCCTGTGTACTGAAGCCTCCACAAAACCCCAAAAGGACAGGGTTGTGAGAGCTTCCAGGTTGGTGAGCACATGATCTGACGATCTGAGAGGGCAGGGAAACTCCGTGCCCCTTCCTCTGCACCTCTCTGGTGCATATCCTCCATTTGGCTATTCCTAAATTACGCCTTTTACAACAAATGGGTAATCTAGTAAGTAAAACGTTTCCCAGAGTTCTGTGAGTCACTGCAGCAATTAGCTGACCCCAAGGAGGAGTCATGGGAACCAGATTCACACCAGGTCAGCCAGAAGCACAGGAGGCAACCCAGACTCTCACAGGGGTATCCTAGGCAGGGGTTCACAGGAGCCCCGATCTGTAGTCCATCGGTCACGAGCACAGCAGTGGCCTGGGGCCTGCAGCGTGGAAGTGGAGCTGGGGGTGGGGGTTGGAGGGAGGGTGGTCTTGTAGGTTGGAACCCTGAACCTGGGGTATCTCATGCTGTCTCCAGGTAGACAGGGTTAGCAATGAGCTCAATTTCAGACACCCTGCTGATGCCTCAGAATTGTTTGTTGGTGTTGACAGAACCTCCCCTCAACATTAGAATTGAGTCAAGAATACCATTTTTGGAGTAAATACAGTTAAATGAGGTCACAAGCCTGGGGCGTATGGAAGGCTGGCTCTCTCTCTGCACTTCACAGAAAAGGTCACGTGAGGGCACGGTGAGAAGGTGGTCGTTCACAAGCCAGGGAGAGAGGCCTCAGGAGAAACCACGTGTGGCCACGTGGCAGTCAGGGCACCCGGCCTCCAAGACCATGTGCCACGAGTCTATTGATTACGGTACCATGAGCACAGCAACACCATACCCAAAAGGTGCCATGAGGCAGAAATGGTGCACAGGCCTGCCCACCACCACCGTGCGAGCAAACATGGTCAGACCCAAGCCACAGTCCTCTGGCTCCCTCCGGGCTAGTCACTTTTAAGATTCAGGAAGGTTTCAGGTAACTTATAATTACAGCTAGTAATTTCAGAAATCAAAAAAAT